ATCTATGAGTGCTCTAATTTTGTGACAAATACTGTTTCTGGCTATGGCATGAACTACTGCCGTTGCTAAGAGTGCAGTTGGGTGATTTTGTGTCTCAGAAGCAAAATGGGTGGCAACTCTCTCATCTACTACATTCATCTCTGGTTCTCGCTTCTCTGATGACTTAGGTACTGGTGTAGACTCGTTAGGTGCTAAGTCTCGATTCTCAAAATGAAGTAGAGTGTGGTGCCTTCGGCCACAACGGCGACAGCTCATAATTTTTTTGCAATATTTGACAGCATGATTTGGTGTCAGACAGTTAAAACAGAGACCTTTTGTTTGTACGCAGTCAGATCTTTCTTGAGGTGACAATTTCTGAAATTGTTGGCAATGATAAATTGGATGTTGCTCCCCACACATCGAACAAATGACCAGCTTATAATTGTTTGGCTCGGGTGTAACTGTCGCAGCATGCAAGCTTTTAGACTTGATGGGGCTGGGTTTCTTTTGTTGTGTAATAGATCTCGATATCGGAATATTGTCGATCATCTCGATTGTTCTGAATCTGCGTTCTAAAAACTGAATCATTTGCTTCCAAGTAGATAAATCTTCGAATGAAGTGGTATTCACTTCAGACTCCCATGCTTTGCGTGATTCATTGTCTAATTTGGAATTGACAATATAAATTATCATGACGTCCCAAGTGTCCGTAGTCACGCCAATATTATTCAGAGCTTTTAAGCAAGAATTTGTTGTATCCAATAAACACTTTACTGCAGTTGCTGATTCAGATAATAAAGCCTTTTGTCCGAACAGTTTTTTCAATATCTCATTTGTATTATATCTCTTATTTTTGTAACGTCTTATAAGTTGTGACCATGCTTCGTTGTAGTTGTTCTCAGTAGTAGCTAAATCTTTAATAAGATTTGCTGGTTCTCCACACAAACTGCTCTTCAGATAATGTAGTTTTTGGACTCCAGTCAAGCTCGCGTTATTGTGTATAAGTGAGACAAACATGTCAAATAAGACTCCCATTCCTCATATTTTCCACTAAATGTTGGTAACTTTATTTGGGGCAGCTTGACTTCGCAACTCATAGCACTGGACTGGCTCGTATTAGGTGTAGTAGGAGGAAGTTTCATTGCAATCTTTTCTTTGTCTAAGTTAAGGTTAGTTTTGTAGTCTAAGTAAATCTCTTCTGCTTGGTTGTAATGATCTTCTTCAAAATACTCTAACTCATCTCGCTCTGGTTTAGTACTAGACTCCAAAACCTGTTCATGTACAGTGTTAAATTGTAACCAAACTCTTTCTAAATTTTGCAATCTCGAATCTATATACGGTATAGTGATACGGTCCTTAGGCGATTTTTTATAATTGTAATATGATTTTAATATATTATTTTTTGTATCTTCTTGCTTTCTAATTAATTTATCCATTGTGAGAATCTTGTTTATAAATTCGTGGTATTAGTATGAAACAATCTTCGTATGTCCATCAAGGGAATTTCACGAAATTATTCTAAGTCTCGTAATCTATAAATTTGTCTAAGTCCCGTAATCAATAAATTTGTCTAAGTCCTCTAAGATTTCAACGAAATTTCACTAAGTGTCTTAATCAGTAAAATTGGCAAAGTCTTTTAAGATTCACTAAATTTTCTAAGTCTCTTTAACACAAATTCCTCTAAGTTTATTTGACACTGTTTCTCTTTCACTTTCACTTCACTTTACTCACGGTTTAACCAGTCCAACTCCCGGGTTTCGGCACCATATGTTCACTCGTTCGATGTGTGTAAATAAAACTCAATGTAACTGCTTCTAAAAAATTCTCTCTTTATTGTACTTATTAAAGTTACTATATAGTTTTAATATGCATTAAACGCTACCGCGATTGGATTGGAAAAATGTCCCCATCTATTGATCATTCATGTAAACATTCCTTGATACTATAGATACTCTCGGTGCTCAAATCCATAGCGCGATTCAGACAACTACAATGCCATCTAACCTTTGATTTGTGGTAGTATAATTTTAGACATTATCGTTTGACGTTTTAATGACAGTCGTGTGAAACGTTTTTGCGATAACTTGAAAATTGAGTTTTTGAATTAGTTTTTTTTACTGAAATACACAAGAGAATGATGAATATCCATCTATCTATGGACTCCATAAACATTAGTCAATAACGTGAGATGGTTTTCTAAAGCTTGTCAAATATCCTATTGTCAGTGTATTGAGAGTGTCACCGAATCCTTTCTGTATGTGTATGATTTCATGCGAGTGTCGCATTAATAGACTGATGATGATGGCGAGTGTTTTTGACGGTAAACATGTTAGATGACTTTTATTAAGATAAGTAGACGAGGACTCTTATCATCCTGCCCTAATCTGCCAATGTAATTTTCTCGATATGGCGACCTTAAGCCCCAAATCATACCTAAAATATTTTTACAATAAAGGTGATTATTCTGCTATATGCCATGAACTTGATAATTATGATTGGGATACCATATTATCATGTGAGTCACTCAATGAAGCACTGGCAAGATTCAATCAAATATTGTCTAATCTTAGAGACATATATATACCCTTTAAATATGTGAACCCCAGACGTTACCCAGTATGGTACTCACCAGCTTTGAAAAAAATTCTAAAAGAAAAAAACAAGCTGCATATTAAATATAAGACCTACGGCAATAAGGTCGACGGCATCGCATTTAACATTCTGCGTCAGAGAGTGAAAAAAGTGGAACAGGATTGTTATAATAAGTACGTAGAAAATACTGAAAATAGTTTACGTGATAACGCTAAGGTTTTTTGGTCATATGTAAAAAAGGAAAAGAGCTCTTATCCTTCATCTATGTTGTATAACAACACTACTATGACCCACGGTGATGACATTTGCAATGCATTTGCAGAATTTTTTCATTCTTCTTTTTTAACATCGCTTTCCCAGTCGAATACCGATTTAGATAATTTAATTGGACCTGATATTACACCATCTACTGCCGAAATCTCCACGATTGAAATTACACATGATCACGTTTTCAAGTTGTTAGTCTCGTTGGATCGTAAAAAGTCTGCGGGACCTGACGGTTTGCATCCGATTCTGATCTCCAGAAGTGCTCGTAGTTTAACCTCACCTGTAACTTACTTATTCAAACGTTCTATTGGTGAGGGCGTGGTACCAGCGATCTGGAAGACAGCAACTGTTACTCCTATTCACAAGAAGGGATCAAAGCTTGAGGTTGTTAACTATAGACCTATATCCAAACTATGTGTCTTAGCTAAGGTACTGGAAAAAATTGTACACGGCCAAATATACACAGCCCTCAAAAATACATTTCTTCCACAGCAACACGGTTTTTTAAAAGGCAGATCTACAGTGACCAACCTCTTATCGTTCTTGGAGGAGGTGACTAATGGAATGCAGTCGGGTGGGCAAGTTGATGCAATCTATACTGATTATAGCAAGGCATTTGATCGGATTGATCACGTGTTACTGCTCAGAAAGCTACAATCAGCGGGTATACGCGGAAATCTTTTCCGGTGGTTAAGTTCTTATGTTGCCAATCGATGCCAAACGGTCGTTCTTAACGGTTTCTCTTCCCACTCACGTTTCTCGGCCATTCCATCTGGTGTACCACAGGGATCCATTTTGGGTCCTCTTCTATTTATTATATTTGTTAATGACATTAATATATGCTTCGAACACTCACAAATACTACTATTTGCAGATGACATGAAAATTTTCAGAAAGATTGGCTCAATTCACGATTGTGTACTTATGCAACAGGATCTCGTTAGGCTACAGGACTATTGTCTTGCAAATAAACTCGACCTTAATATATCTAAATGTAATTGTATTACTTTCAGTAGATCTCAAAATATCCTCCACTTCAACTATAAAATTAATATGCAGTCATTACAGCGTACAGGTTACATAAAGGACCTGGGCGTAATCTTTGATTCGAAACTCCTTCTAGATAGGCACATTGATAATATAACATCAAAAGCCATGAAAATGTTAGGGTTTATATTCAGATCAACCAAAGATTTTAAAATAGCAAAATCATTAAAAATTTTATATTGCTCTTTGGTAAGAAGTCACCTGGAATACGCATCCCAGGTCTGGAATCCTCACTATGATTGTTATATTAATCAATTAGAAAAGATCCAAAAAAAGTTCCTGAAGTTTTTAAACTTCAAATTTGGGTTAAGTCCAGGTCCAAATTATATTTTTAACTGCCAACGACACCATCTTCTTCCATTAAGTAAGCGTAGAGAAGCTGCGGACTTAACATTTTTCCACAACTTAATTCTCGGCAAGATAGACAGCAATGAGCTGCTATCATTGGTTAAAATCCAGGTACCATTCCGTACAGTTGCCAGACGTAATTATCTACGATTCCATACTGATTTATGTTCCACAAATTATAGACAGAATTCCTACTTTAATAGAGTAAAACAAAATTTCAATAATAATTATTCAAGTGATGTGGACGTATTCCTGGCGAAACAAAATTATTTCAAAAAGATTGTGAATAGTATTTTTTTTTAATAATAATAATAAAACCTAATTTAAATTAAATTACTTTATATTTCTATCACCATTTTCTCTGTGGGTATGGCTTTATGCTTAATTTTTTATTTCTGTGTTTTTATTTTTATATAGTTTTAAGTTAATCTACGGCCTCGATTGGATTAAGTATATTTTATTTGAGTTGTATTTGTGAAAACTGTATAAGGCATATCAATGCTACATCATCTCGTTTTATCCTTAGTTTTAACATGCTGTTTGTTTTCCATGAATAAATAAATAAATAAGTAATAAGTTTCATAATTTTTTGTTACTAAAAAACTACTTGTGCGCTTGCGAGGAGACTTTGCATAATGACTTTGTTATTCGAGACCTTGCCAACGAAAAATCGTGAAATGTTAATTGCTGGGCCTAGAAAATACAGTTTAACCAACTTGGTTCGATTTGATAGTATCTGGTGTTATGATTACGTGTGTGGCCGTCAGGTGGCGCACGTGTGGGCGGTCCTGAAGCTGTGGAGCGCGGCGCGACAACGGCCGCCCGCCCCGCGCCGGCCCCCGCCCGCCCAGCAGGCGCCCCGCCCGGCCCCGCCCCCGCCCTACAGGTGAGTACTGTGGAGCGCGGCCCGCCCGGCCCCGCCCCCGCCCTACAGGTGAGTACTGTGGAGCGCGGCCCGCCCCGCGCCGGCCCCCGCCCGCCCAGCAGGCGCCCCGCCCGGCCCCGCCCCCGCCCTACAGGTGAGTACTGTGGAGCGCGGCCCGCCCGGCCCCGCCCCCGCCCTACAGGTGAGTACTGTGGAGCGCGGCCCGCCCCGCGCCGGCCCCCGCCCGCCCAGCAGGCGCCCCGCCCGGCCCCGCCCCCGCCCCCGCCCTACAGGTGAGTACTGTGGAGCGCGGCCCGCCCCGCGCCGGCCCCCGCCCGCCCAGCAGGCGCCCCGCCCGGCCCCGCCCCCGCCCCCGCCCTACAGGTGAGTACTGTGGAGCGCGGCCCGCCCCGCGCCGGCCCCCGCCCGGCCCCCGCCCGGCCCCGCCCCCGCCCTACAGGTGAGTACTGTGGAGCGCGGCCCGCCCCGCGCCGGCCCCCGCCCGCCCAGCAGGCGCCCCGCCCGGCCCCGCCCCCGCCCCCGCCCTACAGGTGAGTACTGTGGAGCGCGGCCCGCCCGGCCCCGCCCCCGCCCTACAGGTGAGTACTGTGGAGTGCGGCCCGCCCCGCGCCGGCCCCCGCCCGCCCAGCAGGCGCCCCGCCCGGCCCCGCCCCCGCCCTACAGGTGAGTACTGTGGAGCGCGGCCCGCCCGGCCCCGCCCCCGCCCTACAGGTGAGTACTGTGGAGCGCGGCCCGCCCCGCGCCGGCCCCCGCCCGCCCAGCAGGCGCCCCGCCCGGCCCCGCCCCCGCCCTACAGGTGAGTACTGTGGAGCGCGGCCCGCCCGGCCCCGCCCCCGCCCTACAGGTGAGTACTGTGGAGCGCGGCCCGCCCCGCGCCGGCCCCCGCCCGCCCAGCAGGCGCCCCGCCCGGCCCCGCCCCCGCCCTACAGGTGAGTACTGTGGAGCGCGGCCCGCCCGGCCCCGCCCCCGCCCTACAGGTGAGTACTGTGGAGCGCGGCCCGCCCCGCGTCGGCCCCCGCCCGCCCAGCAGGCGCCCCGCCCGGCCCCGCCCCCGCCCCCGCCCTACAGGTGAGTACTGTGGAGCGCGGCCCGCCCCGCGCCGGCCCCCGCCCGCCCAGCAGGCGCCCCGCCCGGCCCCGCCCCCGCCCCCGCCCTACAGGTGAGTACTGTGGAGCGCGGCCCGCCCGGCCCCGCCCCCGCCCTACAGGTGAGTACTGTGGAGTGCGGCCCGCCCCGCGCCGGCCCCCGCCCGCCCAGCAGGCGCCCCGCCCGGCCCCGCCCCCGCCCTACAGGTGAGTACTGTGGAGCGCGGCCCGCCCGGCCCCGCCCCCGCCCTACAGGTGAGTACTGTGGAGCGCGGCCCGCCCCGCGCCGGCCCCCGCCCGCCCAGCAGGCGCCCCGCCCGGCCCCGCCCCCGCCCTACAGGTGAGTACTGTGGAGCGCGGCCCGCCCGGCCCCGCCCCCGCCCTACAGGTGAGTACTGTGGAGCGCGGCCCGCCCCGCGCCGGCCCCCGCCCGCCCAGCAGGCGCCCCGCCCGGCCCCGCCCCCGCCCTACAGGTGAGTACTGTGGAGCGCGGCCCGCCCGGCCCCGCCCCCGCCCTACAGGTGAGTACTGTGGAGCGCGGCCCGCCCCGCGCCGGCCCCCGCCCGCCCAGCAGGCGCCCCGCCCGGCCCCGCCCCCGCCCCCGCCCTACAGGTGAGTACTGTGGAGCGCGGCCCGCCCCGCGCCGGCCCCCGCCCGGCCCCCGCCCGGCCCCGCCCCCGCCCTACAGGTGAGTACTGTGGAGCGCGGCCCGCCCCGCGCCGGCCCCCGCCCGCCCAGCAGGCGCCCCGCCCGGCCCCGCCCCCGCCCCCGCCCTACAGGTGAGTACTGTGGAGCGCGGCCCGCCCGGCCCCGCCCCCACCCTACAGGTGAGTACTGTGGAGTGCGGCCCGCCCCGCGCCGGCCCCCGCCCGCCCAGCAGGCGCCCCGCCCGGCCCCGCCCCCGCCCTACAGGTGAGTACTGTGGAGCGCGGCCCGCCCCGCGCCGGCCCCCGCCCGCCCAGCAGGCGCCCCGCCCGGCCCCGCCCCCGCCCTACAGGTGAGTACTGTGGAGCGCGGCCCGCCCCGCGCCGGCCCCCGCCCGGCCACGCCCCCGCCCTACAGGTGAGTACTGTGGAGCGCGGCCCGCCCCGCGCCGGCCCCCGCCCGCCCAGCAGGCGCCCCGCCCGGCCCCGCCCCCGCCCTACAGGTGAGTACTGTGGAGCGCGGCCCGCCCGGCCCCGCCCCCGCCCTACAGGTGAGTACTGTGGAGCGCGGCCCGCCCCGCGCCGGCCCCCGCCCGCCCAGCAGGCGCCCCGCCCGGCCCCGCCCCCGCCCTACAGGTGAGTACTGTGGAGCGCGGCCCGCCCGGCCCCGCCCCCGCCCTACAGGTGAGTACTGTGGAGCGCGGCCCGCCCCGCGCCGGCCCCCGCCCGCCCAGCAGGCGCCCCGCCCGGCCCCGCCCCCGCCCCCGCCCTACAGGTGAGTACTGTGGAGCGCGGCCCGCCCCGCGCCGGCCCCCGCCCGGCCCCCGCCCGGCCCCGCCCCCGCCCTACAGGTGAGTACTGTGGAGCGCGGCCCGCCCCGCGCCGGCCCCCGCCCGCCCAGCAGGCGCCCCGCCCGGCCCCGCCCCCGCCCCCGCCCTACAGGTGAGTACTGTGGAGCGCGGCCCGCCCGGCCCCGCCCCCACCCTACAGGTGAGTACTGTGGAGTGCGGCCCGCCCCGCGCCGGCCCCCGCCCGCCCAGCAGGCGCCCCGCCCGGCCCCGCCCCCGCCCTACAGGTGAGTACTGTGGAGCGCGGCCCGCCCCGCGCCGGCCCCCGCCCGCCCAGCAGGCGCCCCGCCCGGCCCCGCCCCCGCCCTACAGGTGAGTACTGTGGAGCGCGGCCCGCCCCGCGCCGGCCCCCGCCCGGCCACGCCCCCGCCCTACAGGTGAGTACTGTGGAGCGCGGCCCGCCCCGCGCCGGCCCCCGCCCTACAGGTGAGTACTGTGGAGCGCGGCCCGCCCCGCGCCGGCCCCCGCCCGGCCCCGCCCCCGCCCTACAGGTGAGTACTGTGGAGCGCGGCCCGCCCCGCGCCGGCCCCCGCCCTACAGGTGAGTACTGTGGAGCGCGGCCCGCCCCGCGCCGGCCCCCGCCCGGCCCCGCCCCCGCCCTACAGGTGAGTACTGTGGAGCGCGGCCCGCCCCGCGCCGGCCCCCGCCCGCCCAGCAGGCGCCCCGCCCGGCCCCGCCCCCGCCCTACAGGTGAGTACTGTGGAGCGCGGCCCGCCCCGCGCCGGCCCCCGCCCGGCCACGCCCCCGCCCTACAGGTGAGTACTGTGGAGCGCGGCCCGCCCCGCGCCGGCCCCCGCCCTACAGGTGAGTACTGTGGAGCGCGGCCCGCCCCGCGCCGGCCCCCGCCCGGCCCCGCCCCCGCCCTACAGGTGAGTACTGTGGAGCGCGGCCCGCCCCGCGCCGGCCCCCGCCCTACAGGTGAGTACTGTGGAGCGCGGCCCGCCCCGCGCCGGCCCCCGCCCGGCCCCGCCCCCGCCCTACAGGTGAGTACTGTGGAGCGCGGCCCGCCCCGCGCCGGCCCCCGCCCTACAGGTGAGTACTGTGGAGCGCGGCCCGCCCCGCGCCGGCCCCCGCCCGGCCCCGCCCCCGCCCTACAGGTGAGTACTGTGGAGCGCGGCCCGCCCCGCGCCGGCCCCCGCCCGCCCAGCAGGCGCCCCGCCCGGCCCCGCCCCCGCCCTACAGGTGAGTACTGTGGAGCGCGGCCCGCCCCGCGCCGGCCCCCGCCCGGCCACGCCCCCGCCCTACAGGTGAGTACTGTGGAGCGCGGCCCGCCCCGCGCCGGCCCCCGCCCTACAGGTGAGTACTGTGGAGCGCGGCCCGCCCCGCGCCGGCCCCCGCCCGGCCCCGCCCCCGCCCTACAGGTGAGTACTGTGGAGCGCGGCCCGCCCCGCGCCGGCCCCCGCCCGGCCACGCCCCCGCCCTACAGGTGAGTACTGTGGAGCGCGGCCCGCCCCGCGCCGGCCCCCGCCCTACAGGTGAGTACTGTGGAGCGCGGCCCGCCCCGCGCCGGCCCCCGCCCGGCCCCGCCCCCGCCCTACAGGTGAGTACTGTGGAGCGCGGCCCGCCCCGCGCCGGCCCCCGCCCGGCCCCGCCCCCGCCCTACAGGTGAGTACTGTGGAGCGCGGCCCGCCCCGCGCCGGCCCCCGCCCGCCCCCGCCCCCGCCCTACAGGTGAGTACTGTGGAGCGCGGCCCGCCCCGCGCCGGCCCCCGCCCGGCCCCGCCCCCGCCCTACAGGTGAGTACTGTGGAGCGCGGCCCGCCCCGCGCCGGCCCCCGCGCCGGCCCCCGCCCGGCCCCGCCCCCGCCCTACAGGTGAGTACTGTGGAGCGCGGCCCGCCCCGCGCCGGCCCCCGCGCCGGCCCCCGCCCGGCCCCGCCCCCGCCCTACAGGTGAGTACTGTGGAGCGCGGCCCGCCCCGCGCCGGCCCCCGCCCGCCCCCGCCCCCGCCCTACAGGTGAGTACTGTGGAGCGCGGCCCGCCCCGCGCCGGCCCCCGCCCGGCCCCGCCCCCGCCCTACAGGTGAGTACTGTGGAGCGCGGCCCGCCCCGCGCCGGCCCCCGCGCCGGCCCCCGCCCGGCCCCGCCCCCGCCCTACAGGTGAGTACTGTGGAGCGCGGCCCGCCCCGCGCCGGCCCCCGCCCGCCCCCGCCCCCGCCCTACAGGTGAGTACTGTGGAGCGCGGCCCGCCCCGCGCCGGCCCCCGCGCCGGCCCCCGCCCGGCCCCGCCCCCGCCCTACAGGTGAGTACTGTGGAGCGCGGCCCGCCCCGCGCCGGCCCCCGCGCCGGCCCCCGCCCGGCCCCGCCCCCGCCCTACAGGTGAGTACTGTGGAGCGCGGCCCGCCCCGCGCCGGCCCCCGCCCGCCCCCGCCCCCGCCCTACAGGTGAGTACTGTGGAGCGCGGCCCGCCCCGCGCCGGCCCCCGCCCGGCCCCGCCCCCGCCCTACAGGTGAGTACTGTGGAGCGCGGCCCGCCCCGCGCCGGCCCCCGCGCCGGCCCCCGCCCGGCCCCGCCCCCGCCCTACAGGTGAGTACTGTGGAGCGCGGCCCGCCCCGCGCCGGCCCCCGCGCCGGCCCCCGCCCGGCCCCGCCCCCGCCCTACAGGTGAGTACTGTGGAGCGCGGCCCGCCCCGCGCCGGCCCCCGCCCGCCCCCGCCCCCGCCCTACAGGTGAGTACTGTGGAGCGCGGCCCGCCCCGCGCCGGCCCCCGCCCGGCCCCGCCCCCGCCCTACAGGTGAGTACTGTGGAGCGCGGCCCGCCCCGCGCCGGCCCCCGCGCCGGCCCCCGCCCGGCCCCGCCCCCGCCCTACAGGTGAGTACTGTGGAGCGCGGCCCGCCCCGCGCCGGCCCCCGCCCGCCCCCGCCCCCGCCCTACAGGTGAGTACTGTGGAGCGCGGCCCGCCCCGCGCCGGCCCCCGCCCGGCCCCGCCCCCGCCCTACAGGTGAGTACTGTGGAGCGCGGCCCGCCCCGCGCCGGCCCCCGCGCCGGCCCCCGCCCGGCCCCGCCCCCGCCCTACAGGTGAGTACTGTGGAGCGCGGCCCGCCCCGCGCCGGCCCCCGCCCGCCCCCGCCCCCGCCCTACAGGTGAGTACTGTGGAGCGCGGCCCGCCCCGCGCCGGCCCCCGCCCGGCCCCGCCCCCGCCCTACAGGTGAGTACTGTGGAGCGCGGCCCGCCCCGCGCCGGCCCCCGCCCGGCCCCGCCCCCGCCCTACAGGTGAGTACTGTGGAGCGCGGCCCGCCCCGCGCCGGCCCCCGCGCCGGCCCCCGCCCGGCCCCGCCCCCGCCCTACAGGTGAGTACTGTGGAGCGCGGCCCGCCCCGCGCCGGCCCCCGCCCGCCCAGCAGGCGCCCCGCCCGGCCCCGCCCCCGCCCTATTATTAAGTGTAGGAGGCTATCGCTCCTGTGTAAAAGTGTGCCATTCCAGTCATCCTCACCTTGCTGGCCTTAACTCAAATATAGTTCTAAGGATCAACTGCCCACCAAGTTTAAAAAAAATACTGACCAAAAGAAAAACAATATCACCAAATAGAAGTTATTTTAAAATGATGTGACATGAACAATTCCTATTTAATTTGACTCAATTTATTAAATGTTTGATTTTACTACATTTTTAATCTATTTTATTGATATGTTTCATACCCATTTAGAGTAAAATATGAATGGATATTATAATTATGTAACACCAAATTATGTACTCATATTTGAACAAATAAACTGATTGAATGATTGATTGCTTAACAGCAGCAACAGTTGCGTGGAAGAGGAGCCTCTGGAAGAGGAGGAGGAATGGGCGGAGACTCAGTTCCAATACAGCGGAGTGCTGGGCGTTCCTACCCGCACTATATACATCCCCCCGCCCAAACTGCGCGCGCTACACGAGGCCGGTGCGTGTACTGACTTTAAAACCATCTTCAGACTTTAAAACCACGAATGTCTGGTAGATCTTAGTTTCCTACTTGCTCGTATGGCACCAACATCAAATATTAATTTGACTTTAAAGTTACTTAAGTCTAAATGGACAGCGCTTTTGTTATTATCAAGTCGGTTTTCATTTTTGTAAAAAAAAAAATATATAATTTTCACAGTCCAGATATATTATTAGGTTATTTTATGCCCCGTCCTTTATGATGGAATATGTATTAAATGATGAACACTCGTATCAGGCTGGGTATCGGCGGCGAGCGCGCACTACGTAGACGAAGAAGCAATGGATTGGACACTACCGGAAGAGGCGTTCCCCCTCCGCACCGCGCCCCCGCCCCCGGGGCCCGACCCCGCGCCGGGGCCCGACTCCGGCCCCGGCCCCGGCCCCGGCCCCGGCCCCGCCCCCACGCCCGCCCCGCCGAGGACGCCGCCCGCGCCTGAACCAGGTCAGTACACTACATACAACATAGTGTCAACATTGTATTATTCCTGTTTAAGTAGCTCAATGACAATCTCGAAATATCAAAAGTCTTAAGCCAGAAACATATTAACGTGTCGTGTCGTGGTGCGCCAGAAGCACATCGGTTTCATACATTCACTATGGTTAGAGACATATTTACGTATCGTGTCGTGTCGACGCTTTAACCTCTCTATCTCTCTCTAACCCATAATAAATGTATGAAACCGATGCGCCACGTCACGCCACGACACGTTAATATGTTTCTGGCTTTAGTCACCCATCCTATGACCGACCACTGCGAAAGTTGCTTAGCTTTAACGATCGCAGCATACCGCGCTTACCACTGGCACTATCCAACTCCTGAATGTATATAATCATACTACACACTTTACTGAAATCAGAAATCAATATATCTTTATTCAAATTGGATGTATAGTACAACTCTTTTGAATCGTCCATAAATTTTTTTTCCCTACCACTCGTTATGGACATATTTTTTAGCTGCGGAGAAAAACGAGCGAAAAAAACTCCACAACATTAAAAGTCTAATGTAACAACATTTACAAATCATTATGTTGTTACAACGTCAATACAATCATGATTTACTTAATATAGAAAACCTGTTGGAATGATTGGAACAGTTCAAACCATAGCATTTTTGTCTGTAATTTAATCAGACACTTTGTAATAAGCTTTTTTAATAAGTGTTTTTTTTATAATATCTTTAAATTTATTTATGGCTGAAAGTGTTGTCCACTATATCAGGTCCGGGTCCAGGGCCCGGGGCGCCCGGGGCGGGCGGGGGCAGCTCGCCCGGGGCGTCGTCGTCGCCGGGCGGGTCTACTTCATCCGGCGCGGATAGAGTCTACACGCACCAAGCTTCACACAACTCGGTGAGAAACATTTTATTCATACATTTTTTTTTGAAGTTATACTTCTTTAGGCGCGTTATGAAAAAATGATGAGAGTGAAATTTTAAGATGCGCGCGCATCACTGTAACACAAAATTTTAACATGCGTTACTTTTGTGTTTACCGCACATTAAGAAAATCTACCAACAAAATAGAAATAGAATCTCTATTTAGTGGGTGCTAGCGACTGCATTGTGAAGGCCTATCAAAAGTATTTATTAATCTGGAACAACGGAACCAAAGCGCGATTCAGGAGACTACAGCGCCATCTCTTGACCATTGGTGTAGTAGAACCAAAAACCACATCTTTATTTTTTGTACTAAAGTAACAGTTATAGGTATTCATATTGATAATATTTATCCACATGTTTCTAGTTTGTATATTCGGAATATGTGTTTAAATTTCATACAAGTGCAAATCACATATGTTCTAATAAATTATATTCAGTAGCGATTTTAATTGAATATTTTGATTATATTTATTTTTTCAAATTAAAACTGAACTTTATTGACTGTGTCCTTTTCCAGACTTTTTATTAATTTATTGTAATTAATTATTTGCATGCAATTAAAAACTAATTTTAAACGATGCCAAAGAAGGATAACTTCTCACGCGCCTACATAAGTACACGCACCCATTTTTATTTATCTGCAATTAGTTCACTTTTAGCAGTAGGTATATAAGAAGAATTATTAATGTCCCCACTACTAGGGCACAGGCCTTCCCCGTGGATGGAATAGGGAGATTGGGCCATGACCCACCAGGGGGGCTTTAGCCTAACGGAAATGCTTTGGAAAACGCTAACGTTAAGATTTCATTTTGTTATTTCTAGCCGCCTGAGGTTTTCAAATGCCTCGCGCTCTTTTTTTTTTCTTTTGCATTGGTAATAACAATATTAAAGAAAATGAGCGTCAGGTATTTGAAAACCTTCGGCTGTCAAAAATAACAAAATAAAATCGAAAGCGTTAGCGTTTTCCAAAGCATTTCCGTTAGGCGAATGGCCCCCAGGCAGGCCCAATGCAGATTATATAAATAATCTGCACTGGGCAATAATAAATAAATAATTATTTATTATGACGACCTTCGTGGCCCAGTGGTTTATACGGCGGGTGTCATGGTGTCTCCGACTCGAGAGCTCCCGGGTTCGAAGCCCGGTGGGGTCAGATGTTTGTGTGATGAATACGAGCATTTGCACCCCAGTCATGTTTAATATGTATTTCTATATAAATATACTTATTTATGTATTATATCCATAACCCTAGTATCCCATAACACAAGCCTTATAGTGCTTACTATATTATTAAATAAGTAATATAAAAAAAATATTTCCAACACTCATACCAATTAGCCTAGCCCCAAAGTAAGCACTGTAGGCTTGCGTTATGCTATACTAGGGTAACGCATACAATATATATACTGATATTAGTTAAAGACTAGCAAACCAGTGAACCAAATGTTCACCAAAACATGATTTAAAAAAAAAAGTATTTAATTAATTGAGAACTTCGGAGATTTTGTGTGGTTTCGTTTGAAATTCGTGATTTCTCGAAAACCGGAAGTGCTACGTTACTCAAATCCGGTTTGTAGTCTTATCAGACTATTCTTAACTTATAACTTAAATATTCTCTTTATCTATCTCTTACGGTTTGGCCGCTGAAACAGCACCACAGACGGACGAACGGACTTGTCTAATAGATAAGAGATTGTAGCTTTCACCTTGAACATATTGTGATCTAGTAACATTAAATGCGTGCCAGACTTATTATTCAAAATAACATATACGCAAACGTTGATATTGTATACCATTGTATAAGTTACGCCAGCTAACTCTACAAAGCACACATTGTTAAATGGTTAACTAACTGTTCCGTACCCGTACCCATGGCGTAATACGGGACCCTATTGCTGGCGTTCTTTCGTCTGTCTGTCTGTCCGCACGCACGACTTGTAAACAAATAGTCTGCTAGCACTTTCACCCTTACGCCGCACTGCTAAGGCTCACATTCGAATGGACCGCAACACGGCTTTCATATTTAGATACATTGGGTCACCAGCACATTAGCCACGGTTCGTGGCAATGTCACGAATTGTTATTATTTTCATTTTCAATAACAAAGAAATTACCATTTTTGTTACGAGTTTTATTTCAACATCGAAACAAGTTAAGAATGTATGTGAAATTTAAATATATGCAAATTTGTACATCATACACCAAAATATCAATTTCTAAAGCTGTATTTAAATAACAAATACTAAAAATAAACAAATGATTTAACCTTTAATATCCATAACAGGATTATTTCATTGTATAGAACGATAATAAAGCGATACTAGACTCGCGCTTGGCCAGGTTTTATATTTGAATCAGTTGTTCGCCGTGTTAGTCCCATATTAACTAGGTGAAGAACTGTTGAGTATTTTGGGAGAATAAACGAGGGAACTCCTCAATTACAAGCAATATCACTACATAGTATAAAACAAAGTCGCTTTCTCTGTCCCTATGTCCCTTTGTATGCTTAAATCTTTGAAACTACGCAACGGATTTTGATGCAGTTTTTTTTAATAGATAGAGTGATTCAAGAGGAAGGTTTATATGCATAATACATGCATAATATAGTAGAGAAACACTGATAATTTTAGAGGTTTTTAATGTAAGGTCGTAAATAAACACATTTTTTTGTGGTTACATTGCAAACGTTGGCTGAACCCTACGAGATAGATAAAAATAATGTACTACAGTATTGTACACCTTAAAAAGATCTACAAAAAAGTCCACGATGGTATATGTCTATCTCTTAGGGATAACCCACAATAACCACTTTTTACGAGAAATGATAGATTATTTACGAAGCGATTTTCAGCATTAAAACATTCATACTTATCCAATTAAGTACCTTTAATACATTGTGCATTTAATATAGACCAATTTGGCCCTTTAACGCATGTAATTTAAATTAATATTTTCGAAGATATTACAGATTTAAAATGCAGGGACATAGAGATTTCGACGCTCCGGGGCAGGGAGCTCGGCGGCGCGGCGGCGCGTGCCTATTGTAATTAGGTATTAGAAGAATGTCATTGTGTATAATACAAACCTGAGAACAAACACTATAGCCAACACTACAGCTCTACACCGAAGCGAAGCGAGGGCGTGCCACTAGTAAAATTATATTATGTTCGGTTATTTTAAGAAATATAATACAATTCCCATATAGCATCGGCTAATTAAGTATAGGTATCAGGCATGCTAGGAACAATTATTATTTGCTCTTAGTAAGAATACATTATCTGTTTTCTTCAAAACAAAGAAATTTTGAATAAAACACATAATTTATTCTATCTTGTCGTAGGTACTCCAATTTACTCATTTCTTTTCTCTCCAAATACAATTAATTTCCAAAAAAAAACCAAACATTAGCGCATGATATGACATTTATGATATGTATAAATGACGTTCTAAAAGGGCTGCCAGATCAAGTTTTTCTGGTGTGATGTGATTATTTCCTCTGTAAAATTATCGTAGTCAGACTTGTGGTGTTTTAACACCTCCAACTTAAAAGTTACGAATACCTTAGAGCTCTAACGGTCGATCGCGAGTACTTTTTGAGTAGATCTCGAGAAGTTTTTTTTTTAATAAGTAGGTACTTAACTAAACTACAAAAATTTATTTCGAAATAAAATAACACTCTGCTAGCGGCAAAAGGCGGCTTCATCAAAGGAACGCGCGGTACTTGTCAAAGAAAAGCCGCGTTTTGTATTCTTGCCGCTTTTCTAGAAATTTCGGGCGGCGCGTTTGACGGGAACATTCGAGACTTTCGTTCACGCCGATATAAATGTTGCGCCTGCAGGATTTGGAGTCATTGTGAATTGTAACTTGAAGGCAATACTACATCGATACAAAGTTTATTATTAAATAGTACAAAATGAGTGCAGCGAAGAAATCTAAAACGTATCATTTTAATAACGATTGGGAGGAAGAATTTTTCTTTTGTATGGTGCCGGATAAGTGCATTTGTCTTATTTGTCGTGCGTCAGTTGCAATACCTAAGCGTGGTAACTTAGAGAGGCATCATGAAACGGTTCATAAAAACTGTGAAAAGGATTTTCCGCCACAGAGTGAATTAAGAAAACGAAAAGTACGTGATTTGATATCTTGTTTGAAGAAAGAACAAACCATGTTCACAAGACCAACCAAACAATCAGAAGCTGCTACCAACGCGTCATTTAAAATATCTCATATATTGGCAAAACGCAAGAAACCATTCGAAGATGGATCTGTTGTGAAGGAAGCATTTATTGAAGCGGGTGAGACTTCATTTGGAGATTTTAAAAATAAAACAGAAATCATGTCTGCTATTAGAGAACTTCAGTTATCTCGTCCGACTGTCACAAGGCGTATTGAAGTCATGAGTCAGGACATTGCAGATAAACTAAAACATGATGTTATGGAATGTACATACTTTTCTTTACAGTTCGACAAATCCACTTAAATCAGAGACACTGCCCAGCTCTGTATTTTTATTCGGATGGTATTCAATGACATGTTGGCAAAGAAAAGATTTTTTTACTATCATTCCTCTGAAGGGGAAGACCCGTGGTGAAGATATATATGACGTTTTCTTCAATTTTGTAAAAAAACTACAAGCTACCAATATATAAATAAGTGTGCATTACAACCGATGGAGCATCAGCAAAGACTGGAAACAAAAACGGTTTTGTGGCATTAGGGGCTGTTCATAAAATACGTTCGCATACAAGGGGGTGGGGGGGGGGGTCTTACTAAGTGTGACAAGGGGGACGGGGGGTCTACGGCAACGTGACGTTCGTCGTTCATTAAAAAAAATTAAATTAGTATTTCTTTCAACTATTTTTCTTTCTCAATTTTCATCAAGATAGAAAATCATTTATTTCGTATTTAGTAAACATATATAGAGATATGATTTATTTATTTGTTATGAAAAGATATTTATTTATATATTTA